CAGTTGTTATTGTTGAGACTGTTAGCTTTTGTTATGTTGTGTTTTGTTGGACACTACTGTGCTGCATTTATGTTTTTCTGTGAGTAATTATTATGTTTGGTGGTAGTAATTATGTTAATTGTGTTGTGTAATGTATTAGTTAGGTTGTGATAAACTTAATTCTAGGATCTTAGGAAGGTTTAGAATCTAGCTAACTTTTTTCTTAAAAGCTGGATGTTTAAAATTTTCAATTTACTACGAGTTATTTTTCTTTATGTTGCAGTCATGTATGTTTGTTAGTGTGTTTGTTTTTTTTATGTTATACTCCACTACATAGAAGTCTGATGAATCTATATATGTTAAGAAAATTAAAATTTGATCAATTTAAATTTTACTCTTGTTATTAATTTTTGTACTTGCATATTTTGAATATAGAAATGAGTTAGAGAATTTAGTTAAAGTTTATAGTAATAAAGAAAAACTTAAAGTTAAAATTTTTTAGTGTGCAAAATGCTAAATATAGTGAAACTATTTTTAGTAAGAAAATTTGTATTTTTGAAAAATTTTGAAGATTTAGATTTTTATTTTCAATACCAAAATTTATTTTATTGAAGTAATTTTCAAAACTATTATTATGTTTTTAGGTGAAAGAAAAATATCAACTCTTTGCTTTAAAAAAGGAAGAGTGGGATTCAAAATTATTAAAGGCGTATCTAGATATAGTAATTCTTTTCTGAGAAAAAGAAAAAGAAAAAAAAGGAAGAAAGAAAGAAAACGAAAAGAAAAATAAAAAGAAAAATAAGAACAAAAGAAAAATTGAAAAGGGGAGGAGAAGCTTGAGGATTAGTGTCTAATCAAAAATTGGTTCCACATCAGATATTTTTAAATTATAAGACTTGAGAAACTCTTAATCTTAAGAATATAATATAGTAAGTAAAATTATGCTCAATAAAAATTTTTAAGCGGAGATGATAAAATACCTAAACTCTATATTTGGAAAATCTACAATATCTTTGAATTAGATAGAAACTCATATTTTCATATATCTTAACAATAAAAATTTCTAAATTCTAAGTTTGTCTCATATACTAATATTTTTTCTAAATTAGACTACTATATTTCTAGATCAAAAGTTTGGTAACTCCTAAATAAACTCATATACATCATCTACTTATGTTGGTTTTTAAAGATTAAAGGGTCACTTGAGGACTAGTAACATCTTAAGTTTGGGCGATTTTGATACACCTAATATATATAGTATTTCTTTACACATTTTTATACCTATTTTTTGAGATTGCGCTTTAATGAAAGGTATTTGTGTGTTTTTCTTTCAGGTACAATCAAATTGATGAAAATGGCTAAAAGGAGTGAAAAGGGGTCAAATTTGGAGCAAAAATGAACTGACGCGCCTAAGCGCCAGAGGGCCATCCCCAAGCGCCAGGTACCCCACGCTTAAGGTCCAGAAGAAGTTATTTGATGATTCATTGAATTTAAACAAATTTTTGAAGAGGTGTTTGAAGCGGTAAAAAAGTGGGAAATATCCCATGGAGACGAAAATTCATTCATTTGGCTTTTGAGGAGGAAACATCTAGAAGATTTTTTGAATGGAGACACCATTTTGAAGAGACGCCAAGACACCATTTGGATTTTTATAAGAAAAAAATTATATTATCCAAGAGAAAAATCCATCCACCCATCAAATTTTTAAGCAATCATTCATCCAAGTAACTGTCGCCGCCGCCGTCGGCCACTTTCCTTTAATTTTGAGTGTTAATTTGTGTTGTGAGTGAAGGAAGAGAATTCAAAGGTACTTCAAAACATTTGGTGGAGGGGATTTCAGATAAGTGTTTAGTTTTGTGACTATATTTTGTTTTAATCAAGATTTCTTATTGGTGTACATGATTTCTATTTTTAAACTCATGAGTGGTTTTGTTTTCTCCATGGATTTTAAGAAGTTTTCTTTATCTTAAAATGATAAGTGATTAAGTGTTTAAAAGATGTTGTGTGAAGTGTTAGACTTCAATGTTGGAGGAAGTTGTGATGATTTGAAACCTTGCACTTCATTTACCTCTTGATTTCCTAATTAAAATGTTAATATCTGTTGTGATAACATGTAAGATCCGAGATGGTATTGTCTCAGTCAACAAATGGTTAGAATCACATATTGATTCATGAAGGAGAATGTAGTTCATGGGGTTGAGTGCAAATAAATAGGGAAATAAACTTTTCAAGGGTGTAGAATTAGAGGACTTTAGAGTGACGGGTTAAAGCCCTCATTGTGATTTATAGTTTATGTTTTGATACGAGATGTTATCCCCCAAGTGGAGGGAGAAGAGGGAACTCTAGATTGAGGGCTGGTATCTTCCGTGTCTAACCGGTCTTCAAGTTTATTCAAACTATAGATTAGTTAATATTTTTTATAGCATCTCTAGTAAGGGTAAAGAATATAATTGCTAAAGAATATAGAATATAATTGCTCTTATTTGGCACAACACATTTAGCATACTTCCACAACATAATTTTTATACTTATTACTGATTCATTATAAGAAAAAATATATTTTATTTATATAGCCCTCATCTTGCAAGTAGTTAGTTAACTTAATTAGTTACTTACTTTATCTACATAAAATCAAAAATATAAAAAGAATTGAATTTTCATTCCTATTATACCATCTTAAGTTTAAGTAAGAATATTTTGCGAAGTAAATTTTTCTCATCTAAACTTTCTAGTTTTCTAAAGTGCATATTGTTATTCTCTCTATAGGTTCGATATTCAGGGCTTAATCAAAAAGTCTTATATTACTTAACAACGATATGTATACTTGCATAGTATCCCATTTTTTAATTTTATAATTGTATTCTTGTTTGCTTCACAATGAAAGATTTGCCTAGCTTTTGCTTTGGATCAAGCTTTTGGCTATGTTGTAAATTAAGAATCACTATTAAGGAGATTAAACATTTAATCGTATACATCTCATCTTACATCTTTATTGAAGAATCGGTATCAAGCCGTACCGACAGATTATGTCTATCTTGATGAAATTTCGGATGACCTCTACGGTAATTTAGATAGAGGCTTCCCTGACCTAGATGAGGTATAGCTTTGTAGATGGACATCTCTTTTCTCTTCCTTCCAGGGGCTTTCTTGCAAGTTTAGCAGGTACAAGTCCCATTCTACTCTTCCTAAATTAATTTAGCTTGACTAACAACAATTGCACTAAAATTAATTTTGAATTAAATTTCTTTCAAATGGACTTTTGCTCGGATCGAAATCAGATTTTTTAACATCACATTGATGTTAGGATGTCAAAGATGACTAATCAAAGTAACATTGATTTGAAAAACAATGAAATCTAAAAATGAATTTTCCATTAATGAATTGTTCAAATTAATAATTTGGTTTCATGATGTTTGTCTGGTTGTAAGATAAATCTATTTGGTAAACCCTTTAAGGCGCCTCTTTCTAATATTATCTACAACCGTAGCTACTCCAATCATTTCACGGATATATTTGTTTTGTACTTAATTTCCAACTGTAAAGATAGTTATAGAATTATGTAATCTTGTCATTGTATCCCCTTACACTATTAATTACACTCCTCAAAATATTTTCTTAAGAGAATATATTTTATATGATGTAAGAGTTTGTTCACAGTTTCTTTCATTGCAAAGTAAATTTCATTATCAAAATGGGAATTCACTTTAAAATCTAATTTTCATTTCTAAAATGAAAATTCACTTTAAAATTTAATTTTGGTTATCAATTATGATTCATTGTCGATGTCATCTAGTGATTTTCATTTGTTAGTGATTTGCCCATTGAGCATTTTTTTTTGCCCTCATATATTTCCAAGCATGATTATGATAATGATTGTATAAGTCTTACTTACAATTTTTTTTCATTTATTGTGGGTGTGAGATGTTACTTAGAGTCTCAGATCCATAAATTGGATGTGATGGTAAAAACTGTCAGCAGCTTGAGGCTTGTACATTAGAGTATCACTTGATCATATTAAACCATATGGACGAGGCCAATAGAGTTCCACCATAAAATTTTAACCAATCCAAGAATGCTAGTTAGAGTGTGGGTTGCTTATTAATTGATATGAAAGGAGTTGTGTGTAATCCACTAATAACTTTTAACCTGTCCAAAGTTGTGTATCGGAGCAAGGCTCAACAATATTTACCCATAAAAAGGATGTTGGACTGAAATTATGCATCTCTCAGGTTGAGAGCCTAAATTGATTTATAATTGAATTGATACATTCTTTGAATGTGCTATTTGTATTTAGAAAAAGGATTATCATATACATTTAATAGACTAGGACTACAAGAAAATAAAGCAAACAACACAACAATGCCAACATTACAACCCAAAGAATAAACTATGTGACAACGAAGACAAACATGAAATAAAGACTATATGATTGGATAATAACTAATAGTTCTTGCAAAAAATTCTACACATTACATTTTTTCCTCGAATCCTTGATTTTGAAGGTTCCTAGCTTGATCATATTGGCGACAATATAAGGACAGTCTTAGAGGGGGGATAATTTGTTGCGTTGCGAGCTATGACCAATGAATTTTAAACTATGCAGAACTAGATCTATGATAGAGATAGGTCAAAGTTTGGCTCTTTAGTTGAAGTGGCGGTTAACCTTATGGTGATAAGAAGTAGCCCCGACATGGGCCATCACACAAATTTTGATAAAATTATTGTATAATTGCTGCACCAAATCACAAAAACTATTTGATTCAACGTAGCAGAACCTGAGATTTTTGCTAATATCAATTGATTTCTTAATTAAAACATGAGACAAAATTTAATGAGAATGTTTTTTATCAAAATTTCATTATAATAGTTTATAAGTTTATCTCAAAATAATGCAATAAAGAAACAGAGTATTTGCTTAAATATTACATTTATTTTAATAAAAGGTATAAACTTAAAATAGATCCTAATAAAATTTTGATATTTAGTTCAAACTAATTATCCTTTATTTCAAGCATGTAATCTAAGAATAAGTTTATGTCGTGTCTAGTTAGTCGTCAAAATTTATATGTTGCTCCTTTTGTTGATGCTTGCAAGCCATCTCTAATGGTCGGGGTGGGTGCGAAAATTTACCGGTAGATATTAGATTGAACACTACCTTATTCGCAGCATCTGTAAAGTGAACGCCATCCCACACCAACTTCTTCGATGGCTGGCGGCATGCTTTTGCAGACAGAGCCTTGGTTCCGTTTCCGTTCACTGCGGGCGAGCTCCTACACTTCACGTTAAAGTCAAAATTGTACTTGCCACCGCCATGGCCACAACAAACCCTCAGAGGGTCCTTAAACCCTAGACTCCAAATATAATAAAGGAGAAGTTAGATTTAGCATATTCTGATCCAAAAAATAATAATAATAATTTAAAATTCACTTTAAGATAAGTGAAATGTATAAATATCTACTAAACTTTCGCATTAGTTTATCTCCAAATTATTTTACATCGACATAATATATGCAGAATATCCTCATATATTTTATTTCAAGATGATAAAATAAACGATCAGCATTATATATAAACAGAGTTAATAGAATCTATAATCATATTTTAATTTTTATTCATTTTAAAGGAGCTGACAAAAAGTTAATATGCTATTAATTCTACTAGAAAAATACCTTAACTGGAAACCAAATCAAAGCGACCAACTCGGTAGGCAAGGAAGAGAGCTACAAATTCCAAACGAGACCGCAACCAAAGTCAAAGCAGAGAATTTTTTATTTATTTATTTTATATGTTAGCTTTATTGCCCTCATATTCTTCTAGAAATTTTCTAATGTAAATTGAAAATAATTTCTGTTGGGCGTGGGTCCCATCTGCATATCATTTAACCATAAAAGAAAGGAAACTATATATATATATATATATACATATATGTATGTATATATATATATACATGTATGTATATATATATATACATGTATGTATATATCTACATACATGTATGTATATATGTACATACATGTATATATATGTACATACATATATATATATATGTACATACATATATATATATATGTACATACATATATATATATATGTACATACATATATATATATATGTACATACATATATATATATATCTTAGTATTTTTTTTAATAATTTTTCTTTGTATTAGAAAATAATAAAACCTTAAAATCCTACACATCTTATATATCATAAATCAAGATAAATTTTCGTATTCGATAAAAATTTGAATATATATATATAGAAAGATTTGGATACATACCACACAAATTTCTCTCTCTATATATACATGCATCTTACTCATGGTGTATTTTATTTTATTTTTTTAAATTAAAATATAGAAATTTTGATGTGATATAAAAAATTTGGATAGTATAAACATAAAAAAGAGGTCATGTGGCACGTCAAAAGAGTGGCCCAAATTAATTTCAGCCGATCTATTATCCAATATGTCAGAAATATTGATTTGATTTATCAAATTGTATTAATTTAGACTAAAATAATGTGGCGAGTGAGATGAAAAATAGTAATCATAATCTATATCATATAAAATTAAAGACCGCACATTATAATCACATTATCATGACTTGCAATTCTACACATGAATAACTATATAAAAAATTAGGTGTTAAGTACGCACATATGGACAATCGCTTGGATCGGCTACTTGCGGATGTACGGCGATTTGATCGCATCCAAGCGGAACATTTTTCCGATAACCTATATATATATATATACATATTAAAGGAATGTTAGTTTTTCATTTATGTGGCCCACTGTTATTTATTTTAATAGTAATTCATTAACTAAAAAGAAGATGGTCATGTCTCCTCCCAATAGACACTGCATCTTTTCGTTTTAATTAATTGATTAATGAAGAGTCGTGTCTCTTTCTAAATAACATTGTATTCTCTTGCTTTCATTAATTAATTAAATTATCATAAATCTTATTGGTCAACAATCATCATGATAGACGATGGTTAATAATGAATAATTAAGAGGTAAGTTGTGTCTTTTCCCAAGAGACTTATCTTTTCTCTTATAAATAAGAAAAACGTTCTCTCTCTCTTTTAAGAAGAAAGAAATGTATCTTTTCTCTCCATCGGCAGAAAGAAATAAAGATTAGAAAGAGAAATTCTATCACTTAAAATTGAATTCTGTGATCATGAATACAGGTACTTAAATCTCATTTATGGGTGTGTGCAAAATCATAAAGTCAAAAGATCTTGGTCATTTAGTTTTATGATTTTTTTGCCATGAAGTTGGATTTTATAAATTTAAAAATTCCTAACATGCGGTGTCAGAGTTAGGTTGTTGAATTTGTGATTTTTCATTTAATTTTATTTATGTGAATTGCATAAAATTGTCGCTGTAAATTAGATCTTGGAAATAGATCAGTAAAGTTAATCGGCATATTGAGATATTATTATTTATTTGATGCCTATATTATGTGTAATTAGTTAGTCTCCAACGTGGCCAAATTTGTATGTTTAATAGACGTCAAATTAAACAAATTCAATTACTTATAGGTATGTGATGCTTATTATAAAATAATTTTGTATTTAATTATGAGTATATTGAAATTCATTGATTATAAAATATTTGTGGATCGCCCAATGGTTAATTATTTATTTTATAATCTTTGAATATGATTGCGGCATATTTATATACTTGGTTAGATATGTTCATATATCTAAAGATAATATGCATGTCTAATTTAAGTATAAACAATTGTCAATTATGTTAACTAACAATTCAAGCATCAATTATATTTATTAATATGTATTATTATATCACCCAAAGGAGATTTTCAATACACTATTAATGTTTTCATTTAATAAATGTGGATTGTATTAAGGGAAAACACACAAAACACACACTTAAGAAAGCTGCCACAAGAAGCACGCAGCTCCTTGAAATTATACACACTGATGCTTGTGGACTTTTTGATGTTCCATCTTTTGGTGAAGAAAAATATTTTATCACTTTTATCGATGACTTTTCACATTATAAGTATTTGTACTTGTTGCATGAAAAAATCTCAATCACTCGATGCCTTAAAGGTGTTTATAACTGAGATTGAAAGATAATTAGACAGAAAAGTAAAAATCATCAGGTCCGATAGAGGTAGTGAATATTATGGAAGGTACAATGAATCTGGATAATGTTCAGGTCTATTTGTTAAATTCCTTCAAACTAATGACATATGTGCTCAGTACACTATGTCAGAAACACCACAACAAAATAGTGTTGCAAAAAAGGCAAAATCGTGCTCTAATGGAAATGATTAGGAGTATGATGAGTGATTCTTCTTTACCCTTATCATTATGGATGCATGCTTTAAAAACCGCTGCATATTTGTTAAACATGATTCCTAGTAAGGCACTTCCAAAGACTCCCTTTGAACTGTGGAGAGGAAGGAAACATAGTTTAAGGCACCTGCATGTTTGGGGCTGCCCAGCGGAAATAAGGATTTATAATCCACATGAAAAAAAACTAGACATAAGAACAATCAGTGGTATCTTCATTGGTTATCCAGAAAAATAAAAAAGGGTATAGATTTTATTATCCTAACCACAGTACGAGAATTATTGAAGCTGGAAATGCTAAGTTCGTCGAAAATAGTGAAGTTAGTGGGAGTTTGGAATCAAGTAAAGTAGAAATTAAGGTTCAAGTTTCTTTACATAAAATTTCTTCTCAAATTGTTATTCTTACAGTTGTTGAACAGTCTGACAATTTATAGGAACAAAAGATAAATGATCAAACACCCCACAATAAAAATATCACTAATGAACCTACATTAGATGAACCAAATGAAGTTGTACCTAAAAGGTCTCAATGACAAAGAAGGTCTACTACTTTAGGTCTGCTACTTTTGATGATTATGTGGTTTATCTACATGAGTCTGAATTTGGCTTGGGAGTAAATGAAGATTTAGTTTCATTTTCACAAGCCATAGAAAGTGCAAATTCTTCTAAATGGTTAGAAACAATGAAAGATGAGTTGAAATTGATGGATCACAGTAAAGTTTGGGATGTCGTTGAATTGCCTGAAGGTTGTAAAAGAGTTGGGTGTAAATGGGTCTTTAAGGCCAAGCGTGACTCGAATGGCAATATTGAACGATATAAAGTCAGACTTGTTGCCAAAAGTTTCACACAGAAAGATGGCATCGACTATAAAGAAACATTTTATCCAATTTCTAAGAAAGATTTATTTAGAATTATAACGGCACTAGTAGCTCATTATGATTTGGAGTTACACCAAATGGATGTGAAAAATTGTCTTTCTGAATATGAATTTAGATGAAGATGTCTACATGAGTCAACCTAAAGGATTTTTGGTTGAAGGAAACATACACATGGTGTGAAAACTTAAGAAATCAATATACAGACTTAAGCAAGCTTATCGATAATGATATCTTAAGTTCAAAGATATTATCACTTCCTTTGGATTTAAAGAAAACAATGTTGATCTGTGTACATATCTGAAGGTTAGTGGGAGTAAGATCATATTTCTCATTCTGTATGTTGATGATATCTTGTTGGCTACTAGTGATCTTGGCTCATTGTATGAAACCAAGAATTTTTTTCTTTAAGAACTTTGAAATGAAAGATATGAGCAAGGCATCCTATGTAATTGAAATTGAAATATTTTGTAAAAGATCACAAGGATTGTTAGGATTGTCTCTGAATCATATATTGATAGAGTTCTTAAGAGATTCAAAATGAAAAGTACAAAACAGACTATCATTGTTGCATACACTATGAAAGCTGAATTTGTGGCATGCTTTAAAGCTACAATTCAAGGATTATGGCTACAAAATTTTATTTCAAGACGTAGAATTGTCGACAGTTTGCTAAGTCATTGAAAATTTACTGTGATAACTTCGCAGAAATCATCTTTTCTAAAAACGACAGGCATTCCAAAGGTGCTAAACATATAGAATTAAAGTACCTTGTCGTTAAAGAAGAAGTTCAGAAATATAGGGTGTCAATTGAGCATATTAGCACCAATCTTATGATTGTGGATCCATTAATGAAAGGGTTGCCACTACAGACATTTAACAAACATGTTGTGAGAATGGGCATTACCGAAACAATTTATTAATTTTTATGTTTAATGCTCTTTATGTTTGACACATTGAGCTCAATTTATTGTTGTTTTTTGATATTTATGTACCTTATTTTTATCACTAGTGTACATTTTATGTTATGTGATGTTTAACAAGATTTGTCTTTTAATAGACCTTATGGAACCATGATGTTATTGCTCATTATGTTAAGTATGTAATTGATATTGTGATATATAGAAGGGACTGTGTTAATA